TATCCTCTTAAAAGCTCTGGGCAGTCAGCATAATTTAGAGCAATCACAAGGCTTCTCCAGCTCAAATGTGGGGTCCAGCCACCACAGATTGATTCCAGGATGAGCAAACTTGGTCTAACCCCCTTTTTTCTACAACCTCTGCTCTTTCTGCCCCAATCTCTCATAAACTGTTACAATGTTGTCTGGTAATTTGCCAAATGCATCAAATTAGGCTGCATGACTCAAATATTCAAATTTGACTGTCTAAAGTCAGGCACATTATATATATTTTTTTTTAAGATAAAGAGAGAGAAGCATCTTAATTGATAAGATTTTCAGGACTGCTGAAAGCTTGGACTGAAATGGTGAGACAAAACTCATTGCACTCTTGGATAGGAAATCTTAGAGGAAACATTGGGGGTGGGATGGGAGCAGAGAGGTTCAGGGTTTCCTAGCCCCAGGAACAACCACACCACAGCCTGGATCCAGCTCCGTAACTCTGAAATTTTGGCCTTAACTTCAGGGACTCAAATTTGAAAATCTTGTTGTTTCTAAATTTCTTTCTGACACTATAAACTGTACAGGCTGACCTTGGTTAATATACTTTAAAACACCTAAGGCTTCCCTAGCACATCAGAGGTTGTCTGGACCTGGCCTTAGGGCAAAATCTCCTGCAATATTCTTGCCAGCAAGTTAATAAGTATGGATTGGATAAATGGACTGTAAAATGATATAAAGCTAGATTGTCGGGCCCAACAGGTAGTGATCATGAGTTTTTGTGGGCAAAACCTACTTCCTCAGATCTCCACTCAAGCTCATGTAAAGAAGTGGGTTTTGCCCTGAAAGCTCATGATACTATATTTATTTCTGTGAGATTATGTCTACACTATAGCGTTATTTCAAAATAGCTTATTTCGCAATAATGCATCTAGACACAAAATGCATTTCGAAATAGCATTTTGCTATTTTGAAATAGTGCATCCACACTGATAGGATGCTGAATCGCATTTAAGGCTGGCCGGAACTGGTTCTGGCAGGGCCTCAGGTCAGGAGTTACCTTGTGTGGCTGCTGCCTGCGGCTATCTGAGACCTGTGCTTAAAGGGATCCCCCAGACAGCCGGATCTAAGGTTTCCCTGCTTACTTGCCTACCTCGCTGAAGGACAGCAAAGCATTTTTTTCTCTGCGTGCTCTGATTGCCCTCACTCAGGACACCACAGCACTCTGCAACATGGAGCTGGAGCCGCCCCTGGGCTCTCTGGTGTTTCTCCTGGACATGTTGCTGCGAGCCTGGCAGCACATTCTGCAGTCTCCCTGGTGTGCCCCACTGGGGGCTTGTGTCTCATTCCTCCCTCACATCCTTCCACTTACCCCTCCCTAACCCCCCTTCCTGCTGTATAATAAATGACATGTGTTCATTACAACAAAGCCTCTTTATTGAACAAAACTGAGGTGGGTGGGAATGAAACTGAGGTGAGACTGGGGAAAGAAAGTGGGAGAGAGGAGGAGGGAGGGTGGGAGAGGGGAGGGGGAAACCTGGGAGGAGGGATCTGGCAGGGAGAGGCCAGGGGAGGAAGTGGGAAGAGAAGCTGATCATAATGGTCCCTTCTGACCTTAAAGTCTATGAGTCTATGAGTCTATGAGTAAGCTCAGAGATCAAGGCTGGGAGTCTCACCGGCCCAACTATCTCCCAGCACTGCGGGTGTGGGGGCCTCGGCATCCCCGGGGGTGTGGGGAGGAAGAAGTGGGAGGAGGAGCGGTAGCTGAGGAGGCAGCAGGGGCTGGAGCAGCTAAGCTCTGCCCCAGGGTCAATGACCACCTGGGGGGCATGGACCATCCTGTCCCCCACGATGCAGTCCATGGCATCAAAATAGGGGCAGGGGTCTGGGTTTGCCCCTGGATGGGAGCTGCCCCCTGTGGCCCTGGCATACGCCTGCCGCAACTCCTTTATTTTCAGGCAAATCTATTCCTGGGTTCGCATGTGGCATTTGGTGACCAGGCTGGCAGCCATCTGCCTGTAGACAGTTGCTTTCCTCCATTTAGTGTTGAGATCATGGATGTTGGAGGCATCCCCCAAACGTGAATTAGGTCCCTGATCTCCACAATGGAGCAGGCAAGTGCCCACCTTTTCCAGTCCCGGCAGGCTCCTGGGAGCTGGTAAACTGGTCCTGGGAAATGGTGGAAGGCTGGCTGGCACTGCCTGCCTGGCTCATGCTGGGGCGGCTGGGTCAGGTGCAGCGACTGCTGGCTCTGGGCTGACAGGCTTGGAGCTGGCACAGGCACTGTGGCTACAGTCTATCCCTTTAAGGGCTCTGGGGAGGGGAGGAGGGAGAGGAGTTTTCTTGGTTGTGCTCAGAGTAGCCCCCAGGGCACCTGGGTAGGGCTGGAGGCCCCCTATTTTGAAATAAGCGTCTACACAGCGCTTATTTGGAAATAGCAATTTCAAAATTGGTGCTATTCCTCATGGAATGAGATTTACCAATTTCAAAACAAGCCCTCCATTATTTCAAATTAATTTCGAAATAGCAGTTTGGCTGTGTAGATGCTGGTAAAGTTATTTCAAAATAACGGCTGTTATTTCGAAATAACTTTGCTGTGTAGACATACCCTTAGTCTCTAAGGGCGCGTCAACACAGCACCCTAAACTCAAAATAAGATATGCAATTTGTGCTATGCAAATTGTGTATCTTATCTTGAATCTATTTCATAATAGCTTATTTTGAAATTTGGCATGTCTACACAGCACCAAATTTTGAAATAAAGTGCTATTTTGAGCCATCTCTTAACCCTTGTACAACGAGGTTTACCGGGCTAGCAAAATACTGTGCCTAGTATTTCGAAAAATATTTCAAAATAACAGACAGCTTTTGTAGATGCAGCATAGCTATTTTGGGATACCTTTGGTTTCATTCAGTATCCCAAAATAGCCATGCAGTGTAGATGTACTCTAAGGTGCTACAGGTCTACTCTGTTGGGTTTTGTTTTAAGTATGTCCATCTTAACTGTCTCTTACAATGAGGTTTTAACTCAAAGCTTTCCAAGGTTTAACCCAGCTCATAACAATACTTTGATATTTAAGTCAGGGAACGAATATATGGAGTTCTGTCCCATGGCTACGTCTAGATTGCATCCCTTTTTCGTAAAAGGGATGCAAATTAGACGTATTGCAATTGCTAATGAAGCGGGGATTTAAATCTCCCCCGCTTCATTAGCATAAAAATGGCTGCCGTTTTTTTTTTGGCACGGAGCTTTGCCAGGAAAAAGCGTCAGTCTAGACGTGGATCTTTCGGAAAATAAAGCCTTTTCTGAAAGATCTCTTATCCCTTATTTTAAGAGGGATAAGGGATCTTTCGGAAAAGGCTTTATTTTCCGAAAGATCCGCGTCTAGACTGGCGCTTTTTTCCGGCAA